ATGTGTTTTTAATCTATATTAAATGCGCATGTTATCGTATTAATTATATTTTTAACCGTAGATGTACAAACTGCTTGTGAAAATATCTATCTTATTTTACCTCACCAGGACATCACACACCTGATAAACACCCGATGACCCAAAGTGCCACCATGTGGAGAAGGATCACCCGTGGAGAGGTCCAAGAAACCGCGTTTAGCCATTAGACCATATTTATGGCCGGGCTATATTGCGGCCCTTGGCAAGAGCCAGAGTAGGGCTTCACATAACGAGAAACTGCATCTATAAAGAGATAACGAGACACACATAAATTCCTTGTCGTTTCATTTACTAAGTAGGTTAAAAAAAATATTTTAATTGATAATGAAGCTAAACCTAATGTTAATATGGTGGATTATTACAAGTACAAATGCACTTACTTTCGAAATTGCTAGACGTCCCTCTTGGAGGGGGGAGGGGGTGCCGAAGGTTGGAGGCCACTAATCTAGAAGAAGAAACATACTGACCTTCTGGAAGTTGACATCATCTCATGAGAAAGTCGAAAAAACAGTATTATCTCTTAGAAACAGAAATACTTTAGTCATATTATAAGATTTATTAGTCTAGAAGAGGTTACTGTTGGCACCTTTCCGTAGTTCCAGACAATATATTCTGCTATGAGAAGGCATAGGACTCACAACCCATGTCGATGATGAGTATGATAGCAAGAGCTCCCCCCCCCCCCCCCACCCCCCTTCCTTACCCCCGTGGTAAAAAGACTTCCACAATTATAGCATGCGTTTTCAGGAACCTTGCTGTCTTCATTTGCATTTATTGTGTTTCTTCTCAGAGCCGCAGCTCCCAATCTTTCTGTAATTATTTTGTCTTCCTTCATTCAGATTCCCTTCTTGATTTGACCCCTCTATGTAACACTTGTTTCCACTAATCTATCCCAGTAACCTCTATACCTCTATCAATCATGTCCTGTTTGCACATATCTTTGTGTCGTTGTAGAAGTAGGCCTCGACATCTTCTACCCTGTAATTCACCAAGAGAATGTTTTTATGGCTCTACTACCCTCCGTTCTCCCTCCACATTTGGCCCAGGCATCTGAGCCTTCGTAGACTGAGCATTGAGAATACTAATGTAATACCTCCTCTTTCCAATGCAAGTTTTTTTTTAAAAGAAGAATAAAGGGGTGGGGGAGGGGGTGACTCTAGTGGTATGCTCGATAATGGGAAGAAAAGGACACAATGATCATACATGAGGCAGAAGAACTAGCCTGCGGTAAAGAGTCAGTCCGTTAGCTGAATATGAATAGAGATATGTTCTGTATATTACAAACTACATAATGACAACGACCTTGTCAAATTACAAAAACTCTGAAGACGTGATATAGAATTAAATGATATGTTTGTTTATATTACGTCGCTTGTTTCGGCTAGACTCCTCTGGAAGACAATGTTTTACTACTTGAGCTAGATGCTGTGATCTTGGACCGGTGTAGGACTTGCATGTGTTTCAGAGAGTTTGGGAAGATGCTTTTCCCTTTAAAAACAGCATCTCCACCAGGACTATGCCGCAAAGCTCTTATTTCAGAGAGTTTGGGAAGATGCTTTTCCCTTTAAAAACAGCATCTCCACCATCCCCAGCCAGGTCTATCGACGCAGATACTTTTGTAAATAATTTGCACTTTTTGACTCTTGGCGCATCATGCGTTCATTGGGCTTCTAGGTAAGAACCTATGAGCGTATGATCCGTTTCTTGGGACTCAATGAGTTAAGTTGACAGTGTTGGAGCACATGCTCAACGTTTTCTGATGGCAGTATTAAGTTGACAATGCTGGAGCACATGCTCACCGTTTTCTGGTGCCCAGTTGCAGGGTCGTCTCCGCGTTTCCTACACCGACAAGTTTGAACATATGTTGATGAAGTCCGTTGAGCCACGTCCTTTCTCTAAATATAACACCTTATCCCTCACTAGAGAGGCGTTGAAGCGAGTCTTGACGAGAACATTTGTTGTCTGTATCCTGCCACCTTTCTTGGATACTACACTACACTGACGTCACGGTCTCTTGTGGGGCGCGGGTGGGGGGAGGAGTTGTTAAGTCGCTATTTGAATAATATTATTATTAATAATAATAATAATAATAATAATAATAATAATAATAATAATAATAATAATAATAATAATAATATTAGCAACCAGCAGCAGAAGCAACATAAACAGATACAAAAAAAAAACACTCTATATTAATAGGAACCACAGAAACAGTAAAAGCATCAACAATAAAATATATCATTAAACAGCAAGTACTTTACAGAATGTCGCTTCAGTTACGGCACGCCTAAAAGTGTCTTTTTCTCTAGCTAGTTCCCCAGTCCTACTTGATTTCATAGCCAATGCCTCTTTGATGTTTTCCATCCACTTTCGCAGAGGTCTGCCATTGCCTCGTTTTCGAGAAACTGTTCCCGCCATCACAGTTCTCTTCAGACCACCATGACATTGAGCGTGGTCAAAATACTGCAGCTTTCTGGGCAGGATGTTGTTAAGACGCGGAAACCTTGGACATTAAACAAACGCGCTCAAGCACAGAAAACACTACCCTCTAAAATATTGGACATCCCATGACGTCATTTGTGGTCGGCTAAAAAGAAAGCACCTAATGACCTTTCTGTGCGGGTGCCCAGGCCCGTAACAATCCCCATTCCCCGACATTTTGGCCCCCGAGTAAACCTGCCTAAACGGCTCCGATGTAGCATGACGGGAGTTTAATTTGTCTTGGTTCAAGGTATTCTACGAATTTTTTCTGCAATATTTCAGTTAAAAAAAAAAAAAAAAAAAATCTACAAATATTATAAGAGCAATAAAAACAATGTAACGACAACACACTAACATCAGATACATATATTACATCATCAACTATCGTAAAAAAAAGCCAAACTAATACTAGACACTTATAAGGTTATTTGCGTATCCTTTGCAGGGGGTTGCAGAACCAACCCCAACAGCTCCTGGCTGGTGTGTGGTTTTTCTAGGCATATTTACGTCCAGTAGTTTGCCATTGCTGCTGGACGGTCGGCTTTCTTGATACCACTGTCGAAACCAACGCAATACGCATGGCCCGCAGCTGGGATCGAACCCGGCATCCCGGCATTACGAAGCGTTTGCATCGACTTAGCCACAGAGCCGAAACTAGACACACATATGTGAAGACCAATCGATGCTCGATGGGTGAAGTGGACAACACAACCCCGGCCGCTTTTAATTCCCAGGACATTACCTTCACTTTACACTTTAGCCCTTTAGGCTGGATCGACTTGAGGCGAGGGGGGGGGGGGTATAGGTAAAGTTGGAACAACAAAACAACCACCTGAATACGAATTCGAACCTATGAACTTCGGACCGACACACGAGCGGCTAGCAGCTACGCCACAGCGGCTCCCCATTATCATCAACAGCCCCTACACCTTCTCCTTCAATAAATGAAGTAAGAATAATAGTAAATACACAACAACAAAACGACTAGCGACAGTTATGGAAACAATATCAGTCGCATCAAAAAACAATAGTGACAGCAATATCTGCAATTAAAAACAAGTATTTATGTACCCGTGTACGCAAAAAAAAAAAAAAAAATATGTTAGCTTGTGAGTACAAAAAAATGCTTTCCCCCCCCCCCCCCCCCCACCAAAAAAGCGCCTCTCCGACACACACACACTCACACACATATTGCCAAAGTCACCAAGTCGCTTGTCTAAGAAACAACACAAAAGTCGACTAATGTCCAAAAGCGTGCAGTTAAACACGGCACACAAAAGTCGACTAATGTCCAAAAGCGTGCAGTTAAACACGGCACAGATGTGTCCATCTGCCTGCGAGTTATCTTCGCTTTTTTGTCTCCACACAATGTGGTGGAAGAATTACCCCTTAAAATATATTCATAAGCCTTGTAAAATGACGCATGAATAAAGGCCATGAATATCAATAGACCACTGATAGTCTCCGCAAAGACAGCAGTCCGTAAAAGGGGGGAAAAAGTGTAGCAACATCATTATGGCAAAATCAGTCACCCGTGACGGCTTCCCCTATTGGTTGCGGTTGACAACTCCCCTGCTGACAATCTAAAGGGATGATTGTTTCGCTCCTAACTGCCTCAACCAATCGGGTGCAACCAGGTTGCACGGCACGCCATTTTGAACGCTTCTGAAGACCATGGTAGCTCGAATGGGGCGTGAGTGAGTGAGTGCTACGTTCAAGACCCACTCCTGCTCATACGCGCTTTCCAAATACATGACTATGTCCCAGTAATTAGACTGGTAAAATCCACTCCCCCTTTTGCGGCCCTAAAGTAGTTCACCAAAATTTCTTTTGTCTCCGATGTGGAATGACTGTCTTCACGGACTCCCACCCCAACCCCTACTGAATACTTGTGAAGAAGAAGAGGACATGCAACGAATGACGAACGAACAGAGAGGGGGAGGATAACAGATGAAATGCCCGCCCTACTACTGCCCTAATCATCGCTGAATTTAACACTCTATAATTGGCATCCTATGAAGATGGGAGCAACGGAGACCGACGGGTATAAAACAGGTCTTCCCTTCTATGCACCATTTCACTAAGGTCCCGACCTCTTGCAAGTCTGGGGTCAGTGATCACACTTCTACAAATTGCGGCCTTCCGGTTTTGTTGTAAGGTCAGGTCAAATCAGCGTGTGTTCTTGGACTTTGATTTTACGAGTGGCCAACCACCCATTTCTTGGAAACATGCATTTTTAAAGCTGTTTTTGAAAATTCGAAACATTTGGAAAAAATCACTTTTTGATACAATTTTAAGTGAAAATCAATGGACTAGACACCTTATTTATGTAACCAATATATTTGAGCATGAGCATTCACATAGATTAAGCTAATTAAAAGTGAACTAGTCGAGGGAAAGAGACTTTCAAGGTTTATTCAAGAATTTCAAGGTTTAGTCAAGACTTTAATTTCGTTTAAGACTTCCAAAGTCCATTGAAGATGTCGCGATCGTTTTATGTGGATTCGTTAATGGTGAGCAAGCCAGGAAATGGAGACTGCCCTCCTGCCGGGAGTCCGCCGTCTCATCTGTCAGCGTTGTTATCCCAACATCCGGCACTGCTGGCCAGGTCGCACCAGTCTCCTCACACAGGGTCTCACCATCATCATCACCACCACCCGATGCCCACTCCTGGAATCGCTTGTTACACCAGACACCCCGCCGACCTTTTGGGCGCCCTGTGTTGCCCTCTGTGTCTCCACGGCCCTGCAGCCTCTCCACACAGTTTGGCCGCCCATGCTCTCAGCACAGCCCAGGTGATGACCTCAGCCCATGTTCTGACGTCCCACCCATCCCCAGTCATCCCCGGGCACAGACTGCCCCGCTCCTCATCCCCGCTCCCGCTGATCTCCACCTATTCTTCATCCCCATTTTCTAGTCACTCCCCGATGAAGTCTCACTCTCTCATGCGCCCTCCGATCCAGAACAGCGACTCTCGTCTCTCCCTGTCACCGTCGCCTCCACAGTCCAAGAAGAGGCCCAAGTGTATATCCAAGTAAGTACAACCAACATCACTTCACTATAACCTATGTTTTAAGTTGTTCTGTTTTTTGTAATATGCTAAACGTGTACGCATCTATATATTTATATATATATATATATATATATATGTATATATATATATATATGGAGTCGCCATGGCATAGCGGATCGGAATTTCGTGGTTTCGCTTGCTTGCGGAGCCGGACTTTTTCAAAAATAAACTTGACTCTCAGGTCGACCCAGCCTTGAGTGGGTACAGGGTACAGTCCAGGGAAGCAAAGGCGGCCGCCGTGCTGCTGACTACATCACCCATCTTGTGCCGATTGATCTATAAAAACATATGTCTAGCCCTATATGCCCTATATGCCCTATATGCCTAAAGGCTTTAAAAAAGACCTTCACTATGTATATATGTGCGTGTGCGCGAGCGTGGCATGCGTGCGTGTGTGCGTGCGTGCGTATGTAAGCGTGCGTGTGTGTAAAAAAAAGTTAACGTCTCCTTACCCGCTAGTGTCGCATCAGGCATATGAGGCTAGGCTTGTATACACCAAACTATGGGTGATATGGTCAACATCACGTCGACCGCCTTTACTTCCCATAACTTAACCTAGTACCAGTTTAAGACTGGTCGACCTGGGAGCCAAGGTCATCTTTTCCCGTTAGAAATTGAGTCCACCACCTTAGGATCAACAGGCACACATCTATCCGCTACACCATTACGTTACCAGTGTGTAGGTTGGAGTTGATGTCATGTTATACTCTAAAAGTGAAACGTGAAGTGATCGATAGACACACTGATAGCTTCATTGGGTCAGAGAGATTTACCTGGAACAAATAAATCAACGAATAAATCAACAAATGATTGAGTGAATAAATAACTTAATGATATAATTATTCTGTGATTATGTAAGTATTTTATCAGCATGTCATCAATTAAAGAGTTCCTCTTCACATAAATAAATAAATAAATGAGTTAGTCAGTCAAAAATATGTCAATAAGTAATTCATCATCAGGGGAACAAATGAATGAATAAAGAAATGGGCTAACCCATCAGACAGCGAGTCAATCAATCAGAGAATTCATCATTTCGTGAGCGAATGAATAAATACATGAAAAGTTAATCAGCCAGAGAATTCATAACCAATTAAACGAATAGATTTAAAAAAAAAAATGTCTAAATTAGTTCAGTAAAAGACTTAAATAAATTGATCAATTAATGGATAAATCTGAGTGCGAGAATACATAACCTAATCAATAACGGAATCTATAGACATGCATAATTACAGTTAAATTGTAATCAATCGAAGCGACTGTCGTCCAGTCAATCAATTAAACACTTAGATAATAAACATAGGCGTCAATTGTTTCATCTATGGTCTGTCGCTAAAAAGTCTGTCCGCAAAATACACGTACATCTCCAATACTTTTTTCTTCTTTGTTCACCAGCTGTAATCTCCGACTGTAAGTCCTGGTTCGTGTAGACTTTAGTTTTGTGCAAGGGCTTGAGTTTTACTAGCTTATTTATGTGCAGTTGGTTGTTCCTGGCCACTCAGGCTGCGTATATTATAGCCTTCTCGGAGTTCAAGTACGACATGAAATTTACTTCAAACCATGCGACGTAGGCTGCAGTCTCTCGTGGGACGTAGGCTGCGGCTGTGGGGTGGGGTGATTGGGGTTACAGCCAGTTCTAGATGTTCTGTGGTCGTTAAAAGCGGTTACATCGTTTAATAAAGAATACGTGACATCACCGGTAAGAGCATTGAAGACAACACGCCCCTGTAACAAAGACTGGCGCGTGTCAATGCCAACCAGTGTTTGTTTGGGGCGATAAAAAACGTCACTAGTACCATATAACGAAATACTGGAGAAAAAAAAAAGAGCTTCTACCCTAATTAGAATTTGCATCAGGCTCTTTACATGATTATTGGGGTGGGGTGTCTAGTTCGAAGCACCCATTCAAAGTGTTTGGGGTACCTCACCGGGCCCCACTGTTTTCTTCGCGCTATTGGGCTTGGGCTAAGGTTGGGATTAGGGTTAGATCTAGGGTTAAAGTAAGGCTTAGGGTGAGAGTCGGCTCTGTGGCTAAGTCGATGCGAACGCTTCGTAATGCCGTGGTGCCGGGTTCGATCCCAGTTGCGGGCCATGTGCCTTGCGTTGGTTTCGACAGTGGGGTATCAGGGGGACGACTGTCCAGAAAGCAATGGCAAACTCCTGGACGTAAATTTGCCTAGAGAAACCACACAACAGCCAGAAGCTGCTGGGGGTTGGTTCTGCAACGTCCTGTAAAGGATCGCAACTAACCCTTATTTAACTTTAGGTTGAGAACCTTACAAACACATGGTGCATTCCCTACTGATTGAGTTAAAAATTATAACTAGGGAAAATGACGGAAATTTGTCGTAGCTTCCTTAATGGATAATTCGTCATAGCAGCGCCCTAAGTTGTAGGTTCGGATGAAAAAAAAAAAAAAAACACGCGCGTAATTCGATAATAAAGTACAAAATCATCTCTCTTTTCCAACTTGTAGATTGTCACATATTCCATTGAGAACGTTGCATTTTGCTTCCGTAGTTACAAATTCTTGGTTGTTTGTGTGTCGATAACGACTTTTGTTGAAAGGTTGACGTATTTATTATTTGCGTATCTTTCATTTCGCCGAATCTCATTGCTGCATTTTCTATTGGTTTAGCTACACCGCCGATCATGAGTTTTGTGGCCTCTCTGCTATAATATATTTTGTTGGAGTCAGTTCTTTCTTGCCAAAGTTTTTATCTGTCTTTTTGCCTACTTCTCTTTCATATTTCTCTCTCTCTCTCTCTCTCTCTCTCTCTCTCTCTCTCTCTCTCTCTCTCTCTCTCTCTCTCTCTCTCTCTCTCTCTCTCTCTCATGTAAACCCAACTGTTCTAATATGATTTTTCTGCGCATCCGTCTCATAAATGCTATGTCTTTTTTGAAATTTTGATAGAAGGATCACGTACCAGCTACAGTTTCCAATGCTGGGCTGTTTTTATTCTTCTCTGTTGATGGTATTCTCAACATTCTTGTCAACATCCAGTGTCGCCACTGTTTCAATACGTGCTGCCGTGTTATAACCACTAGACTCTCGCCGGGGGATCAGAGAGCCTTGGGTTCCAGTCTCAACAGTGCTGTACTTCTTTTTTAATAAGATGGGGGTTTCTTAGTGGCGAAGTGATCAAGACATTTGCCTCGCGCTCTGAAGGTCGTCAGTTTGTACCACGGCTACGCTCCTCTGTTCACGAGGAGCAATTTTTACTTACATCCCCGGAGATCGTCGTCGGAGCTGCGAAGTTTGTGCTCTGCACGGCGCTCTGGGCAGGCGGCTAGCAGTTCTGCAGAAAGAGACCGAGCTATATGGAATAAAACCCGGTACAATGAAGTCGATCCTCTCAAATTTAACCTTTAACAACATTTTTTAATGACCTGGCTCCTGGGTCGACCCAGCCTTAAATGGGTACCAAGTAAAGTCCTGGGAAATAAAGACGGCCAGCCTGATGTTGTCCACAACAGTCACCGAGCTCCGATTGGTCTATCAAATGTGGACTTAGCTCTATAGGCTAAATAAAAATGAAGGTTTGGAAAGGGTCCTTTAATATACTTATATTACTTACTGTTTCATTACATATTGTAACCTCTCACAACCACACACACGCACACATTACGTAACCCCGAATTCTGACTGGAATCTGGCATATGAATCTAACATCATTTGTCCCATACGTCAATGACGCGAAAGGGGTCTCGGCATTTCTGGCGTCTTCTTCTCCTCTAGTCCTGTTCTGCCTTTCAGAAGAGCCTCGCGTGCCAGCCTTGGTATGTGCTACGTAGCGGCTGGTATTTACGGCTTCAGATATTCCATCTTTCCGTCGTTTACGTCGTCCTCCCCTGGATCTACTTCCATTATGCCTAAGTGACAGGGCTCTCTTGGGTGCACTGTCTAGTGGTGGACTTGACACATGTCCAAAACATTTTGTCTGTTGTCCCTTGGTCTAGTTTAGAACTGGTTCCGTCCCAACTACTTTCCTATTATGGTCATTTCTTGTTCTGTATCTTCTAGCTACTTTGAGAATACGTAGAAAATATTTCATTTCTGTTGTTTTGATTTTTGTTTATATTATTTATACAAATGACATTTGACAAATGAAGACATACCGATTTATATCACTATGTAACTTCATTCACAGGTGTTAACGGTCCATCAGATGATCTGCCTTCCTCGAAACGCATGCGCACTGCCTTCACAAGCACCCAGCTGTTGGAGCTGGAAAGGGCCTTCAGTTCCAACATGTACTTGTCGAGACTGAGAAGAATCGAGATCGCCACCTGCCTCAACCTGTCCGAGAAACAGGTGAAGATCTGGTTCCAGAACCGTAGGGTCAAACACAAGAAAGAAGGGCCCGAAGAGAGCAACCACGGTTGTGGATGTCACAGAACCTGTTCGAGCCACGCCAAGAAACCGGAAGTTGAAGCGTTACCTCAGTCTGGAATTGAACCGAAGACGTCTGCGACTGGAGAGAACAAAGAACATCACGTGATTGACCACAGAAATGACAAAAGTCCCTCTAGCTTTTTTCCTGCATCAAGAAGCATTAGAAAAACAAAATGCGGACACCATGAAAACCGCAAAGACCGTTCGCTCCAGCCAGAACGTGTTGGTCTCACTTCTTGTGACAACAAGCAGGCTTCGATGAAGACCGATGACACAGACAGCAATACTGGCGTAGTCAATTCTGAACTAAGACTGATCACTGTGGAGCAGGGAAGTAGTGCCGAAGATGGTGAGCTGTCAGAGCCGTCGAGCCCTGAGTAAATTCATTTCCTGCAAATGGTTCCTGATATAATTTACTTAGTTGTCACTGGTGCCTTTGACTGTGAAGTATTGATGTCCACACACAAATGTTGTTCATCATTTATTATTGTTGACCCAAACATGATTTAATAATATCCAGTTCATCCCCGTGTTGCTTTTAGGACCTCGTTTTGGGAGTTAAAAGAAATTAGAGCCATGGATCCCGCCCCCCCCCCAGCATGTCGTAAAAGTCGACTAATTAGAAGTGCATCATCCTTAGAGGCGAACCATTTACAAAACAGCCAGATCTGTCAAATGGATGTGCACGCAAGTTCTGGAATAAGATTAAAGTCCAGAAGTGGACAAACAACCAGAACTTTCCACCTGTGCTTGCAGCCACTGAAAACACACACACACACAAACACACACACACACACACACACACAGCGAGAGAGAGAGAGAGAGAGAGAGAGAGAGAGAGAGAGAGAGAGAGAGAGAGAGAGAGAGAGAACATCGATCTCAAAGAGACCTGTGAAGAAGAACTTGACTATATCTTCATCTGCACAGGATTGCGTGTTATACCTGGCCGGTGGAGCTCTGTGCATTAACTATCACTTCTTCGCAGGTTGAACAGGCTATCTGGGTTTCATTTTAACAGCCCGAAGAACCAAGATATGTAAGAATTTAAATCCTTGAGGTATGTTACATCGTCCCCACTTGTTCAAGTTGCTTATTCTGACTCCCAGTATGTCCCAGAAGTGAGTCGTTTGTCTTCTTTAGAATGAGTTAATCATTTTTGTAGAACAAACATTATGCAATCGGACGTTGGGGTTCATAATTGAGGGGAGGACCTGAGCACTTATGGACATGTTCGGAGTGCAATGATGATAACCCAACTAACAAACTAACTAACTAACTAACTAACTAACTAACTAACTAACTAACTAACTAACTAACTAACTAACTAACTAACTAACTAACTAACTAACTAACTAACTAACTAACTAACTAACTAACTAACTAACCAACCAACCAACCAACTAACTAACTAACTAACTAACTAACTAACTAACTAACTAACTAACTAACTAACTAACTAACTAACTAACCAACCAACTAACTAACTAACCAACTAACTAACTAACTAACTAACTAACTAACTAACTAACTAACTAACTAACTTACTAGCTAACTAACTAACTAACTAACTAACTTACTAACTAACTAACTAACTAACTAACTAACTAACTAACTAACTAACCAACTAACTAACTAACTAACTAACTAACTAACTAACTAACTAACTAACTAACTAACTAACTAACCAACCAACCAAACAACCAACTAACTAACTAACTAACTAACTAACTAACTAACTAACTAACTAACTAACTAACTAACTAACTAACTAACTAACTAACTAACTAACTAACTAACTAACTAACTAACTAACTAACTAACTAACTAACTAACTAACTAACTAACTAACTAACTAACTAACTAACTAACTAACTAACCAACTAACTAACTAACCAACTAACTAACTAACTAATTAACTAACTAACTAACTAACTAACTAACTAACTAACTAACTAACTAACTAACTAACTAACTAACTAACTAACTAACTAAACTAACTAACTAACTAACTAACTAACTAACTAACTAACTAACTAACTAACTAACTAACTAACTAACTAACTAACTAACTAACTAACTAACTAACTAACTAACTAACTAACTAACTAACTAACTAACTAACTAACCAACCAACCAACTAACTAACTAACTAACCAACTAACTAACTAACTAACTAACTAACTAACTAACTAACTAACTAACTAACTAACTAACTAACTAACTAACTAACTAACTAACTAACTAACTAACTAACTAACTAACTAACTAACTAACTAACTAACTAACTAACTAACCAACCAACCAACTAACTAACTAACTAACTAACTAACTAACTAACTAACTAACTAACTAACTAACTAACTAACTAACTAACTAACTAACTAACAAACAAACTAACTAACTAATACATTACGTATGGCAGAGACAGGTCATGCAATGGTGTCACTTACATGCTAACAAATAAACCTTTTATGTGCGGTCTGGCAACAAATGGGCCAAGAACTAGAACATACAAAAACACTGAACCTCAAAGGACTTCCCTTAATGAATTTATGTCCCATTACAATAGGCCTCTGACAATTAATAACATGCTTAGTGTGACCCTACAAGAAAGGATTAAACAATACATCACAAGAGCAAGTGTTAGCAAATGAGATGTTTATATTTCTGGAGGCAGAACATTAGGGTACCAGATCACTTTAATTATTGGCAAACATAGACTGTCCATTGTAATTATTACAATTGTCTAAAAATGGTTTATAATATATTAAAGTTTACAATGTCTTTGACAAAACTCTGTATATCCTACTTTAACTAGGATGGGTCGAACATTTTAATATTGTTTAAACTACAACAGTAACAACAGCAACTACTACTAATACTATTACTGCTGCTGCTGCTGCTACTGCTACCGCTACTAATACTACTACTACTGCTGCTGCTACTACTACTACCACTATTACTATTACTGCTGCTGCTGCTGCTACTACTACTACTACTACTACTACTACTACTACTACTACTACTACTACTACTACTACTACTACTACTACTACTACTACTACTACTACTACTACTACTACTACTACTACTACTACTACTACTACTACGACTACTACTACTACTACTACTACTACGACTACTACTACTACTACTACTACTACTACTACTACTACTACTACTACTACTACTACTACTACTACTACTACTACTACTACTACTACTACTACTACTACTACTACTACGACTACTACAGACAGAAAAAAAAGATAACATACCAATGAGGCAGCTATCAGTATCGAACCACCAAGGATTGGTCTGGTTGTTGCATGGCAATCCCCAACAGATCTGGAAACATTATAGAAATACGACCCCCCTACCCCCTTTTCCAATCAAATTAATTACATGACAAACAAAATCTTAGCTCCCAGGTAGACCTAACTATTATTAGGTACCAGGAGAAGTCTTGTCCAGCAGGAACAGATTCAAGCCCCCTGTGCATCTTCAGTGGCCTGTATCTACATTCCCGAAGGTCGACCTCTGTTTTCCAGAAAATGACCCTCCATCACCAGCCTCCCTAGACCATTATGGTGCTTGACATGCCAAAAATACCCCAGCTTTCGCTAGATGACTCTGTTTACGAGCCAGTTCTCCTGGGTGTTCAGGTCATGTGACGTTTTTCTTCTTTTTGGCCAATGGTAGTTTAAGAATTTCTCTGTAGCATTTCACTTTAAAAGCTCTGATTTTATTCATAAAACACCGAGTGAGTGTCCCATGACTGAAATCCCTAATCTGCCAGGGAAAAGATGCATGATCTCATAATTTTTACTTCAACATACTTGAAAGTGTTATGCAATTGGTTCTTCGTAGCTTTTAATTAGGGGGTAAAATTTGGCCCACCAATGAGCTTTGACGGACACGGTTTAACGATTATGATGCCAGTGTTGATATTGGGCATACAATGATGATAGTAATGACAATGATGTAGACTAAAGCAGCAGTACCTTTATTTCATGATTATCATAAATACCATGTTGTTATTATTGTATTAAATATTATTTTACAATTAATGTGATTGTTTTTAATGTCTCTTATTATGTTTTCGTGTCTCACTAATTGTAAATGAAAAAAAGATTTGTTGTTTTCTTGTGTTTCTCGTTACTTCCGATCTTCCTTTTTCTAGGTTTGGTTTCTCCAGCCTTCTCCTGTTCTACCTCATCTTTCACCTTCTTCTTCTTCTTCTTCTTCTTCTTTTTCTTCTTCTTCTTCTTCTTCTTCTTCTTCTTCTTCTTCTTCTTTTTCTTCTTCTTCTTCTTCTTCTTCTTCTTGTTCTTCTTGTTCTTGTTCTTCTTCTTCTTCTTCTTCTTCTTCTTCTTCTTCTTCTTCTTCTTCTTCTTCTTCTTCTTCTTCTTCTTCTTCTTCTTCTTCTTCTTCTTCTTCTTCTTCTTCTTCTTCTTTTTCGTCTTCTTCTTCTTCTTCTTCTTCTTCTTCTTCTTCTTCTTCTTCTTCTTCTTCTTCTTCTTCTTCTTCTTCTTCTTCTTCTTCTTCTTCTTCTTCTTCTTCTTCTTCTTCTTCTTCTTCTTCTTCTTCTTCTTCTTCTTCTTCTTCTTCTTCTTCTTCTTCTTCCTTTTCTTGTTCTTCTTGTTCTTCTTGTTCTTCTTGTTCTTGTTCTTGTTCTTGTTCTTCTTCTTGTTCTTGTTCTTCTTCTTCTTCTTCTTCTTCTTCTTCTTCTTCTTCTTCTTCTTCTTCTTCTTCTTCTTCTTCTTCTTCTTCTTCTTCTTCTTCTTATTATTATTATTATTATTATTATTATTATTATTATTATTATTATTATTATTATTATTATTACTTTTCTTGTTCTTCTTGTTCTTGTTCTTGTTCTTGTTCTTGTTCTTGTTCTTCTTCTTCTTCTTCTTCTTCTTCTTCTTCTTCTTCTTCTTCTTCTTCTTCTTCTTCTTCTTCTTCTTCTTCTTCTTCTTCTTCTTCTTCTTCTTCTTCGACTTCTTCTATTTCTTCTTCTTCTTTGTCTTATTCTTAGTATGTTCCTGTCGGTAATAGATTATGGACTTTAAATACATACAATATCAGAGCGTCAGCTGATAAAACTAGAACTCATACTGGCCCGGTTGTATGTATGCGACATGTACTTTCACTGCCCACTTTGGCAGAGAGGCTGTTCTGTAAGCGAAGACGTATCCTAGAAAAGCTGCAGACAAGAAGCACCTCCTGCATGAAGCACTAGGCAGAGCTAAGGGTCACAGACTAAAAAGAGGAAGATCTTTGATGGCGCAAGCCTAAGACCAATCAGACATGTATGCACCTCATGCATGAAGCACTAGGCAGAGCTAAGGGTCACAGACTAAAAAGAGGATGATCTTTGA